CCATTCCATGATTCTATGATTATCAAGGAAACTGATCTCCTGAAAACAGGCTACGGGACCAAGAATCTGAAGAGAAAGGATGCTAGAATAGATCACATCATCCCATTTAGAACCTTATTCCACCAGCATTTAGAGCCTGCAGAGCTGTCACAGTTGAAGACAGTAAGAACCTTCCTACAGACATGACAAAGGAAACCAGAATCTAGAACACTAGTCATGGGAAGGGAATTTAGAGAAGACAGGTCAAGAAGAGAAGAAAAGCAATAAAATAACACACATAACTGTACCAATATCAAGCTCAAAACGTACAGATGACAGTTCACTATCAATCCAGATATCAGAAAAAATAAGGGAAGGCTAATCAGAATCTATATATTTCAGGTTACTATAGTATTCTTCAGAAGTACAATAAAGAGATATTGCATATGCAATAGAGGCTCATAACACCGAAGTACCTTACACGATATTACCTCATGTGTTGTCACAGACATTGTAGCCAAAAGAAAAAGAAAGCAGCTAATTCCTCTCAAGATTTGTCTCTGGCAATAAACATTCTCGTCATTCAGTCTAGGCTTTTGACCATACTCTGCTCATTCACAGTTGTTCTTAGACATCCTCCTGAAAGCTTTGAAAGCTGCTTTACAATCTGGCATGCAACACTACATAAACTATCTGTGAAATAGTGACATTAACATCGTATTTTGCATCTTGTTATGCTTGACAAAAACAAAAGGCCAGATGTTTTTACTTTAATATGAAAATAGATTAGCTAGACAATTTAAAAGATGTCAAAGACTTAGTTAACTATTGAGCTTAAGCCTTTTTCTAAGAAGAAAGTGTATTAACTGAAATTAAAACAGACATCCATCTAGTAGGTAAAACAAAAGAGTAATTTTGTAACATTTATGGTTAATTACTGTAATTTACCCAGCTGATGTTGCTCAAATTTTAGCTGTTACAACACAGTACCCATGTTTATCAAGTAGTTTAAAAAAAAAAAGTATTAAGACAGTATTTAGTACACCGTATACATTTTGAGATTATTATATTGAAACTAAAAAAGAAAACTATTCTACTGATTTATGTCAGAAATAAAGTTGAGATTTTCACTGCTAACTCAAAACATACTACCTGAGGGATTCCATAACAGTTCATAAAATGTCTTTCTTTTTAAAAGGTATGGTCTGTGGTATATATTTTCTACCAAGAAATAGAAGAACACATGTAGCATCAGATGTGTGTACTTTAAGAAACTCTGGAATGTGGAATCTAAAAATCCAAATAAAGCAGGTGGTATAATTTGGTGTGGGGGGAGGACTGAATTTAAGTTTAATGACATTACCAGGTTATCCTACCAGACTAATTCTCACTCACTGCATGACTTCAATGAAGCTCTCAGTCCTCATGCTGATTTCGATTTAGTTCAAGTGCTATTTGATGCATTTCATCTGGAGTTTTATTCACTTCAAACTACACTTCATTTAACCAGGCTGCTGCTGTACTCATGTGTTTTTCTACTTTATTACCCGCAAATTGGTGTTGCTTAGTTTAGATAAATTGTTGGAATAAGTTAATTTTATATAATTATTTCACACTGTTAATAAATACATAAGCTTTAGAAAGACATCATATCACAAAATGAGAAAGCTATTAAAATTATTTCAAAATAAACCAGACCAATAAGTGTTGGTCTTGCAAGATCTACTACTAAATGCTGACAGATGATTTGCTATTTTAAGGCAGGGCCATTCCCTTGCCTCCACTCCCAAAGCTACTGCTTGTTTTTACTTTTCGATGTCATTACTCTACCACACTGTTTTGCAGCTGGTCATGCCTCACAGTACAAAGTATTTTTAAGAGAAAGATAATGAGCAAGATAGAAAGCACGAGAGAGAAGCAGAGAATGCACGAGAGCGCAAGAATGCAAGAACAGGACCATGAACACATGAGAACGAGTGCGATGGCAAGTGTGCAACAGCACATGTGGAAAAGTGCAAGAAACACAAGCAAGCAAGAGATCAAGCGGAGTGAGCACAAGCACACGAAAGAGTGCAAGTGCACTCATGAGAAAACACTAGCACTTGAATACCATGAATTTGTCTATCAGATGACAGTTTCTTTTCAACCATTTTTCATCTCTAAATTGTCTGTTTTGCAGAAACCACCATGGGTTTGTAATGCACTAAATAAATTTAAGTTTAATGTTAAACACTGATTTATTTCTACAATTTACTAACAAGGATCACCAAACAGAACTTAGTGTAAATGACAGGTCATGTCAGGAAAGGCTGTCAATCCCATCAGAGTACTTCAGTACTCTGCTGAGTGTCGATTAAGGGTTAGCCTGGTAACATCATTTTTCACCAAAACACCACAACAGAACAGCAATTTATTTGGAGTGGTTAGTGTTTTTTTAAACTATTGATGGAAAATATGAGAAAGTCAATTAGGCTGCTACCACCTGGTGGTGTGCTGATTATGCTAAAAATACCCTTATATTTAACATGGTATCACAGCTTGTGAAAGAAAAACTAGTATATTCTTTATGTAGCACTATGAACAACATAGTCTTTGTATAATCCACTGAACTTTCACAATTAATTACTGTTACAAATTAGCTATACAACACAATGTCTGAAGCCAAAGTACTTAATGCATTAACCTGTTTTCCTGTTATCTTGTCATTTTATGTAAGATTCTTTGCACAGATTTAGTCATAAAGTAGTATTACAGACAGCTACTGCTCAAAAAGAGGAATAAAGAAAACTCATGTTCTGTCCAAAGTATTGCCAAAACGCATTTGCTTGAAAATAGTTTTTAGAAGTACAATTTCTAAACTTAAAATCTAAAACTATTACATACTGACATTTATGATCACAAGATTTAACCTGCAGAACTGAATTTAAATACTGAATTTCCATGGCATTGAAGTTAAAAAAAAAATGATATAGCTCATTTTATAATAAAGCAGAGAATTGTTTTCACAACAGAAGTGTTTGCATTAAAAATCTGTACTACAAACAGCTTAATACCTGATCACAATATTAAAACATTTCCAATTGTAACGAGTAACAGAAATGAAAGTCTAGTAGAGATCATCTCTTCGTGGGGTTGGGGTATTTTGGGGTTTTTTTCCCCCCCATTAGTTGTTCTAAGATCAACCAAATAAAAAAAGAGCTGACCTGTTCAGTTAAACACATATACTGATTGCAAGCTTGATAACTTCAGCATTTGTACCCACTCAAGGAAGAAAGGAAACTGATTCACAGAATTCTGCAAGGTCTCGAATAAAGTCATTTACTATGGGGCTTACATAGCCTTTTCTCTCAAGCAAACAAGGGTCTAAAATGTTTATTAAATAGCTACCCTTACAAAGCAATTTATTAAGGATAACAGTCTTCATAGTAGAATATGACAGAAGAGACAGAAGTTTAGGGATATATATATGGAGCTTGGCAGTTTTAAATAATTCATTAGAAACACAGAAGTAGTAGAGTACATTACTTAAATACACTGTACATGCCTAATGCTCACCAGTATTTGGGAAACTTGATCAGCTTGCCATAAAGAGCAGTACTGAAGGAGGGGATAACTGGCACAGGGAAGCAGTACAATCCTTTACTGTCCAAAGAAGTCAGCGCTGCTTGAAAACCAAATATCTGAAACAAATTAAGTTGGTCAAAGTGTACACTATCACATGATCAGATGACTTTCAAGTTACTTTTATAACATAATGTACACGTTTTTAAAAATATACTCAGTAAATATAAAATAAATTTTGTATTTTCCCCCGAACACAAAAATAACTAGAAAAATCTACCTACCATAATGTGCTAATAGAAATAGATATAAAAATATTTTTTCTTTCAAAAAGTGTTAACTACACACTGCTGAGGTGTTTTTTTTTTAATGTTGAATTATAATTTATCAACTAAAATACATTATTCTATATCCTTTAAATCTGCACATTGTACATTGCCTTTCATATAAAATAAATCATTTTTTTGTAATAACAACACTACTGGCCTAAAAAAGTGGTATTTAAGGAAATGGGAAGTTTCAAAGTTTTTTTCTTAATAAAAGAATCTAAAGAAAGCATCATCACGTTTAGAGAATCTGAAGAAAGGTTCATCACAACTATTCTTTATGACTTTTCCCTGTTCAATATGGAAAACAAATGGTTGTAGAACTAACTTTTCAACATGCTGTACCACCATTCGTGCAAGACCAGAACACTGTGGTCTATATTCCAGCTAGCAAACCAACCTATAAAACTCAAAAGTGAAATCCACATTTTGCAAACACTGATCAAACAGCTGTAAAAACTTCTTGATTAGGAAAAAATCCCCCCAAACTGAAAAATGTACAAATGACTTGCAATATTGCCATCCCAATCGTTTTAAATGTGACAGAAGGTAAATGTCACCCAGAAAACTGAAAGCCTGTCATGCAATTCTGAGACAGTTTGTTTTATGCAGATCGTAAGAATTGCATTATTTAAATTTCTATTAAGATATCAGCATGGATGTAAATGAATAACTGAAGAAATAGCAAAATTAACAGTAACTCCCCAAGCACATTCCGAAAGGTTTGAGGGCCTGTTTTACAACGCCACTTGAGATTTCACTTTTTCATTCTGCTAGCATTTCAGCTGATAGCAACTGAAATCATCTCAAAGCAATTTTTCAGTAGCTTCTTAAACTTCCACCAACCTCACAATGAGAGCTCCTCTCACATAACGGATCCTTAACTGAGAATATTCAGAGGTTTTTCCTCTTACAACGAAAAAACAAATGTAATTGTTCAGCCACAGTTTTTGACTGCATACCTTCACTCTCACGGTTTTGCTCTATCAGTACTACTAGAAGTGGTGCTTTTTCCTCACAACATCCCATCGTATTTCTAAGTGTAATTCCCTGTAATCTACATATTTTGTGAGCATTATCTTAGAAGAAGGGAAAGGTTTCTTTCCAAATTGTTTTAACTCAATCTTGCCACAAAGACCTCAGGGCTTCAGTCTGCATAGTTTCCTCACGTGAAGTTCTCCGGTCATGTTACAAAACATTCGGCTCAGGTCAGAAACAGCCATCCCAAACGATGGCATTCTGTGAAGTGTTTACCTTACATCCTTTCAGATAAGCTTAAAACTTTCTCCCAAGAAGCCTGCTAGCCTTAGGATTATCTATACTTATATTAACTCTTTCTCAGCGCACTGCAGTAAGAAACTGATCTCAGGCCTTTTTTACCTTCAGATAGCAGTGTGAGTAACAGTAATGAAGCAGGTTGTCAGACGGCTGGCCAATACTGCTGACCATGTGCACCAGTTGCTCAGCATACATCGGCACCGAGTGCTCCAGGTTGACCTTATCCACCAAAATTCGAACAGAAGGTAAAGGCCGCAGGGGCTGGAAGCTTGCAGCATTTAACAGTCCAGTTAAGTTCTAGGGAAGAGGGGAAAAAAACATGCAGTTTTTGCACTACAGATGTATTATCTACCATATTTGCATATTCCTACATACCTCTCCCAACGCACATGCACAAGCAAATCTAAATGCAATGAACCATGTACAGGTACCACAGCCTTATGGTCAGTATAAAACAAATCCCCAAATATTTATAAAACCTTTTCAAAATAATTTCTTAAAGAGCTTAAAATTGATGTATAAACTTTTCATCCAGAACTGTCTTGGGTGACCTGGCAGTACTGACAGTGGGAGGGCTGCAGGGGTGATCTCTGTGATGGGAGACCTGAGGCTGCCCCATGCCAGGCACAGCTGGTTCCAGACAGTGCCACAACACCCCAGCACAGGAGAAGGCTGAGCCCATCAGCCAAGCTGGTGGCACCTCTGTGAAAAATACCTAAGAAAGGGCAAAACCACCACACAGTCTCAGAGGACTGAGGGGGGGGAAAAAAAAAAAAGTGAGAAACAGCATTTTGAACAGCAAGGTCAGAGAAAGGAAGGAGAGGAGGTGGTATTACAGGTGCTGCAGCAGCAGTTCTCCTGCAGCTCATGGTGAAGACCACGGCGCACCAAGTGTTTCCCTGCAGCCCATGGAAGAAACCACACAGAGCAGATATCCACACTGCAGCCATGGACAACCCCCACATCAGAGCAGGTGTATACGCCCTGAAGGACACTGCAGCCTTGTGGAGAGCCCACACTGGAGCAGGCTTTTCGTCAAGGGCTGCAGCCTGCAGCCTGTGGGAAGGACCTCCGCTGGAGCAGGGGAAAAGTGAGAAGAAGTCGGATTGGCAGAGAGCAACTGTTACAGACTGACTGCAAAGCCCCATTACCCAGCCCCCTGTGCTGCAGAGTGGGAGGCAGAAGAGTCAGTGAATGAAGGAGTGAAGTTGATCCTGGGAAAAACGAGGGGTGGGGGAAAGGTTAATTTGACTCGTCTTGCTTCTCACGATCCAAATCTATTTTAATTGGCAAAAAATTAAAATAATTTTCCCTGAGTCGAGTCTGGTTTGCTCCTAATGGTAACTGCTAAATGATCTCCCCCTCTATCTTGACTCATGCTATTCTCTCCTCCCTGTCCTGTTGAGGAGTGGGAGTGGCTGGGTGAGCATCTGGCAGCTGGCCAAGGTCAACCCACTACAAGAATACACAGTGTCAAGGTATTTTGTTGTATAAAATATTTGCTTACATTTTTATCACTCCAAAGCACATCACCATACTAAACTCAGACTGATCTAACTTTTACACTGTCATATATTATTATGCATTCATAGTCATGCCAGGCATCTCAGCAAAAGAAGATGCCATTCCAAAAAAAATAAACATCACAATTTTACCCACTCAAAGCGATATTTTTCATATTATCTGTTAAAATGATATACAGTATCCAGTAACAGAAAGACATGGATATACCAGAATAAGTTGAACTGAGGGCTACCAAAGTGCTTTAGGGGGTTGGAACACATGAGCTCTCTTCTTGGGACAGACTGAGTCAACTGGAGTCATTCAGCCTGGAGAACGTCAAAGGGAGATCCTACTGCTATCTACAGCTACCTACTAGGAGGTTACAGAGGGGAGAGAGCCAGAGTCTCGTCAAAGGTGTAGCAAGTGGCAATGAACACAAGCTGGAACACAAGCTATTCCAAGGAGGTCTGTGGGAAAGCTTTTTATGTAATCTCTATCCTTGGAGCTAAGGCAGCACTTTGACTGAACAAGCCCTGGAGCAACCTGCTCT